AAAAAAAAAGGTTGGATCTTTGGAAGGTTAGAGCAGCAAGGCTCTTTCCTTGAGCATCCATGGTCCTTTTCTTTGAAGAGCTTGGTTGGTTGTGGAGAGACAAGAAATATCTCGGGTTGAAGAACAAACCTGAAGCTCTTGGTAAATGGTGTAGAAGAAAGGAAGTAGTCATAAGACTTTCTTGGTGGAGCATCATTGTGTTTCTCAAATTTTGAGGAAGGTTATGGAGACAAGACTGTCTCAAGTTATCTCTTGGTGTATAGCACGTGAAAGGAAGGAGTTGTAAGACTCATTCGAGTTAATATTGAAGCATCTCTCTCAAGAACAATAAGACTGAAGAAAACATAAGGTTTTGAAGCAGTCTCAGTCTCTGAAGCAGTTTTCTGAGACAGGTGCAGACAGTTTGGTAAGATCTTATTTTGTTACATGAAAGATCTAGCTAGATCTTAGGTGGAGTAACATAAGGTTTTTGAGATGCTTAAGTAGTTGAACACGTGTTTAGCTCAGGTTATGGTGTGTAACTGAGTGTGTAAGAGAGATGTGAATAAGCTGTATCAAGGATTCATGGTAGAAGTCTGAATCAAGTGAGGTGATTTCAAGTTTATGAAATCAGATTACCTCTAAGATACAAGAATCTGCAACACAGTGAGAAGGATTTCAGATTACTCACAAGTTGAAGTGTTGCAAGCAAAAGTTTTGAAAAGTTCAGAGATGAAGCAAGAAGCATTTGATCGAAGATGGTGTTCTTCATCAGTGCTGAAGAAGCCAGTTATTTGTTGGTGTTAGCTGAAGGTTACAAGTATCAGCTGGGTTTGATTCTGAAAAGAATGAGTACAAGTTCAGTGACTCAAGGTTTTGTATCAGAATTGAAACATCAACTTCAAGACTCAAGTTTAGGAGACTTAAAGTCTGATTCCGCTGCAGTCACAAAGTGTTTGTGATGCTCTATATTGAAGTTTCAGGTTTTGCTCAAGTTCTGCAGATTTATTGAAAATGGAAGTTTGTTGGAACACAAGGGTTATGTACTGGTTTTACAAGGGTTTGGCCAAGATTCAGTGATGGTTTTCAGGGTATCTTCAGGTTGAATCAGTTTGGAAAAGTCAGTTGCTGGCGGTGTTCTAGTTATCTTGTTTCCAGCCAGGTAACTCATAAGATTTATGGAACTAGGGGACGCCTTAGAATCTTGAATTTTGTGGGTATTTTATGGCTGTATGAGTATCAGTAAGGGTGCTCTTGGGTCAGTTTAGAGGGTGTTGCAGAAAGGTTATGAAGCAAGGAAATTTCAGGGGGTTTTCTAGTTGAGTATTGAAAAGGGTTTCTTGTTGCATGTTTGTCTCTGTGTGTGTAGCTGTCAATTCTAGTTGTTATGAGAGTCTACAGTTGGTGGATTATCAGTGAACGTGAAGCTACAAGGCTGTTTGTTTCAGAGGTAATGCAGTGAAAATTATTGAATATGTTGTGCTCTGAAGCAGTATCTGAAGCAGTCCAGAATAGCTTATGTAGAGACATAAGGTGATACACACTTATGGTGTGAGCTTTGGAGTAAGCCGGTAAGTGTTTGACTTCAGGATTCAAGAGTGTAAGCTCTTGATAAGGTGGCAGTAGCAAAGATTCATGTTTTGTGCAGATTTGTGTTTGGTGTAACACATGGTAATTCTGTTGGAATGAATCTGATTGAACAAAGAGTTCTTGTCTCAGGTGGAGCTACAATTCTCAGAATAAGTCTTGTATTGTATCAGATCTTCATGCTATGAAGGGAAATCTGATGGTACAAAAACATTGAAGACATCAAGTTTCTGAAGGTCTCTTAATGTTCTTTGGCAATGGTGTATACTATGTTTTGTGTCGAAAGTCTTCCTAACTAAGAGAGTTAGTCGGCGTGTCATGTTATTGTAACAGTGGTTCAAGACAAGTGTATGATGGTTTTGCTGCAGGATGGTACAAGGTTTTGTGATCTGCGATTGAAGCATGTTTGAGACAAAGCTGCTGGAAAAGAGAAAAGTTCTTGATGGTTATTTGGTACATATGAATCACTTGGAGTGGCTGCAAGAAGAAAGAAGCATGTGTCTCACGTTTTGACACACTTTCTCTAGCAAGAAGCCATAGTGGAGTTATAGTAAAGAGTGGTTTTAACTCAGTTTGGTGGAGTTGAGCTTAAAGAGACAGAGGTTCTAGTGGCTATGGTTCCAAGTGTAGTGTTGCTGCTACAGGTGCAGTATTGGTGCTACAGGTGGAGTATTGTTGCTATAAGAAGAGCAATGGATATCCAAAAGGGTTTTTTCCTTGGTGGAGCTATGTTTATTTGGAGATTGTCTCTAGTATTCAGATCTTACAAGCGATATGATTGGCTCAACATGAATGAGTTAAAAAAGGGCTCCAGTAGTCATTATTGTATCTGTTTCATGGAAGTTCAGTGTGCTAAGAAGATACAAGTCAAGAACAGRTTGTTTATCAACRGGGAGAAATTGCARGTTTTGAGGAAYRGATTGYAAGTTCTCRYWACARAGTTGCAGGTTTCTGGGAAAGTTTCAGAGAAAAGACACCAAGTTTAGGCCGAGATGAAGTTGTTGAAGTGGTTCAGTGGATTACATGAAAAAGCAGGAACGGCTTCAGGAATACTCACTTCAAGAAAGTGAAATTGTTGTGTATCTAGCTTGATAAACAACTTATCTCATTGCTGGTGTCTGCAACTTTGGAGGTCCTATAAAGGATGCAAATGCAAAGAAATCAACTGCATTTGGAAGAAGAACAACTATAGAGGTTCAAGTTGTTTGTTTGCATCATAAGAAGATATGTATGTATCATCTTCAAGTATCATGCGACGATAATGAAGAAGAAGGCTTCTGCAACAGGAAGTGCATCAGGAAGTACTTCAGGAATTTGGAGTTGATGCATTAGTTGCCGAATGAAATTGTTTCAGGTATATCACTGGTTGTGTGGTTATGAAACATGTTTAAGGTTGCTGGTAGTGGTTAAAATCTGCTAGTTGGTGTTCTGACGGTTGAACAAGGGTTGTGCTCAGGATGGTTTGTTCAGACATGTTGCTGTAATGGTAAATCTCAGGTTCTACAGTGGATTGGTTGTTTGTGAGATTGGTTACAGGTTATGTTTCACGTATATCACTGGTTGAATCAAAGAGCTTCAGGTTAGAGGCTAATATGATTCGGGTTTTCTGCATATGATTCAAGTATATTCGAAGGATTTTGATCTTAGTGCACATGAGAAAATCCTAGAGGCTAGCAAGAGAATCAAGGTTTGCAGAGTTATTATTCAGTCACTGCAATAGTTTTATGGTTAAGACAGAAGCCACAAAAGATACTATGTGATTGGAGAAGTTCGTAAGTGGTGGAGCTTATGAAGATTTCTGTCGAGTTAACATGTTGGTGATGTTTCTTAACATGTTAATGGAGTTTGCTGAGCAGTTGTATCAGGTTTGATACTACGAAGACATCAAGATGGTTGGGAGTTGAGTTTTATCACAAGTGTGTGTTTTGAAGCTGGTTACAACTCAAGAGGCCATGAAAGGAGATGTTGGAGAT